AAGCTAAAATATAATGTGGTAGTAGCTGAGAGTTATCCTCATCAGACGCTAGAGGAAACACAACTTTAACTTTGTCCTTTTTCATCATAAATAAAGCAATCCTCCCAGCTCCAGCAGGGTGACCTTTGACCTCCCAGATGTTTCTCTGATAAAGTCCTCCTGACCCAGTCTGTGAGTTTTGGTTGACAACCGTCTCTTGTCATCATCCTTCCATCTTCTAATCATGGATTTAATGGAGCTCTGTGGGATGTTCAGGGTTCAGGATATTTTTAACTCAACCCTGATCTGTTCTCCACAACATTTTTCTCTGACCCACACAGAGGTCATTCTTCATGCTTGTTCTGTCTTGGTGGTTCTTCTTCAGAGGAGCTGAACCCATACTCAGACACATGCTCATGGTTTTTATGTGGCTTCTGAACAGTTCAGGCATCAATGCAAATGGGGTGAATACACAGACACACACTGTTTGTTTCAAAAATAATTAAAAACAAATGTTTTATACCTAGATTAATTCTAAGGTTGTTCTTTTTTTCCATTGAAAAGTTTTACATGAAATCAAATAGAAAATCCAAACAACTCAGGAAACAAATACACAAGGGGGTGAAAACTTTTGCTCACTGTCTCAGCTCAGACTGGGAGGAGCTGCTGCCATCGTCTCACAATTTATGACGTCTCAATTACCTGAAGAACAGCTCCTGTTAGTGAGGCTGTCTGTGAACTCACACACACACACGTAATCTAGTACAGCTATATTTATGGGGACATTGCATGGACTTCCATTAATTTCTATAGCTTAACCATGACCCCCCTAAACCTAACCTAAACTCAACTCACATGTTAGTTAAACCTAACCCAGGGGACTAGGCTTACAGTAGGTCCTCATAAGTGGCAGTTTGTCCCCCAAAGTAGTTGTCTACATTGTCCCTACATGGTAGGAGATACTCGCTCACAGGTATATGTATTTAAAACTTTACATGAGTGTGCAAAATTTCATTCTAGAGTGCAGGAAAAGCAAAGGGAAGATTTAGATTAAAGTCTAAAAGAAACAAAGCCAATTAAATAAAGACACAAAGGACTGAAATAAATAAAGACAAAAGAACAAAAGGAGACAAAGATCAACGTCTGAAACAACAGAGAATTTAAAATGTTAAGTGGAAACAGAGAAGGACTGACCTCCGTCTGAACTCAGAGCTGAACTTCTGCCTCAGTGTACTCCAGTTAACCTGTACCCCCCAACACACACACACACACACACACACACACACACACACACACA